AAAACTGTGCAGCATGAAGGGACACTCAAGCTCCTCTATAATGAAAAAAGCTAAAATGTACTGAAGTTTTTTGTTTCAATGACTATTTTCTTTGAGTACTTTAGGAAGTGTTATAAAAAGTTGTGGGGTATTTTTTGAGTTCTGTTTTACAAGCTGGTTTTCAAACTGATTTTTCTTTTAATCATCTCTCAGCTGACTATGATACAGCTGCTTCCAAAATTATACAGGTATGCAGTCTCTTCTACAAAAAATATGCTTGTAAAGCTACTTAGAAATCTATTGACACACACTATTTAAGCATCACTTTTATACCTGCTAACAGTTTCATGCATTATCAACAAGAGGAATTTTTTTCCCGGTCATGTGGCCATTACAAAACACTGGAAACATTTTAGAAATTAATTCTGATGGTGCAAAGAGCAATTATATGTCTCTTGATATTTCAGTCACAGAAAATAATGCCTGGTGGGAAAAAAACCCTTAATTTATAAGGCAGAGCACTTGAGTTTAATTTCTGACTGCCTGTGGTCATTTATTCTGTGCAGACAGAATATTATTTAGAAATACTCTCCTAACCAATGGCCAGGCAGGATGCATCTTGTGTCACAGCATGGCTGGATACAAGTATGAGGCCACTAACAACTCTCATTATCAAAAATCTGTCAGATAACTTCCTCTTCTTGGTTGTTACTTTGTTTTGGTTTTTGGTTTTTAAGAACAAAGCTGAGCTAGTTCCTCTTCCCTAGAATGTTTCCATTGGTACTTCCCCAGAGAATGAGGATGGGCCATCCATAGTTGAGGTCATCAGTATTACCAAATGAGTTATACTTTAATCATTCCTGTGTGTAAGAAAAAACACCAATTTTTCTCTCTCCAGAATTGTAATCTGTTGCACAGAGTATGTGTATATGCATACAATGAAATACGGTCTGCAATATTGCCAGCATATCTGTAGGACTTGGAGGCATTTAAGTTTGGGAAAAGGAACATCACTAATGTTCTCCCAGTTTTAAGTCCCACATAAAGAATCTTTAAATAATGCAGAGGTAGGAAATACTAACCTTGCAATAGTGAAGGCCAATGCTATGTCACTTCAAAACAAACATAATGTATAAATGCAGTTTCTCACTTTTTGGAGTTCTCCATAGATAGAGAGACTTCTCTTTTTTCAGAACAGCACCTCACTAGAGATGTTTAACTTTTAACTGTAAAGAAGAAAATAAATATTTTCTTCCTAAATTATATCTGGGAATTTAACAGGGAAAAGAAGGGGGAAGAGCCCTGCTATCAGCAGAAGCTGTGATGGCTGCCCTCAACAGAGTTGACTGTGTTTGGCTTGCTCAAAGTACAGCCTACTGCTCACCTGGGGCCTCAATATCAAACCTTTGCATGTAGAATGTAAAGGTGGTTTATCAATCACAGAGTTACCTTTTGGCACTCTGGTCATGACTTACTAAGAAGAGCTGCCCATCAGGACAATGTAGGTTTAAGTAGCACTTGTCCATCATTTCCCTCTGACCTATAGTAATTCATTGAGAAAACACATCTAATACCTATTTAAAGACTCCAGATGATAGACAATCTTATATGCTTAACTATCTATTCCATATCTAAATTGGAAAATTACTACAGATAACCACTAAATTTAATTTTCTGTCCAAACTTAATTGTAACCCATGTAGTTTATATAGGGAAGACAGGGATTTTGAGCCATAACTTTGAGACCTGTAATAATTGTTTAAGAATTAGTCTGAATTATTTTCTTATTATGAGCGTAGAATTAGTTTTCATTTCAGTTAAAGGCTGAAAGCCTGTGAGTAATGCAACATAAAAAGACAATCATAGAGTGGTTTGGGTTAGAAGGGACCTTAGACACCATCTATTTCCAATCCCAGTTTGTTGAAAGCCCCTCAAAGATTTGTGCTTACTCAGTTTCATCAGATGGTCTAGAACTGGCTCTTAACTCCAGCCCAAGAGATAAAATGTGATCTCAGAATAGTTGAGTAAATTGGAGTGCTTTGAACAATATATGATACTTCACACACTGAAAGGAGTTTGAATTCCTATTTGTTCACTGGTACTATTGGTGAAATTGTTGAAAATTGATAAATTTTCTTTTATTTCACTTGAAGTAATTTTTCCCCAGTCTCTCCACAGATTCCAACTTATACAGCATTTATACTGTAATTTGGAATAAACCTCATGTTCAGATGTTTTGGGGGGATGGTGGTTTTAATTTTCACTTTTTTGTGTTTTGCTGCAGTATTTCATACAGAGATGGATTTCTGATTTCAGTAATTGTCTGTGAAATGTTTCACTTTGTGCCTGTGTGTGGCTACCAACACAATTTCCTGAATAGAGCACACATCTGTATGTCTCACCTTGTCCACTGTCTCAGATAAATCACTGGAGTGCTGTACCTCTTACTCTGTAAATCACAAGGGCAATAAGAGAGATGGGGTTCATATATAAACACCTCTGAATGGCACTGAATAAAAGCAGCATATAAAAGCTAGATAAAACATGTATTGGGGAAAAGAGAATAGACACATATAAAAACAGGGATCTAAAACAGAAGTATGGCAGTCAAAACACTGCAGAGCATCTCAAATTTAGGTATTATCTATAAACTATCGGTGACTTCCTAGTAGAAATGGCTTTCTTTCTATAACAGAGTTGCTGATGCTTTTGACTTAGGAATCCATCCTTGTGTAGCTCTCTCTCAAATGTTCTAGTTGTTTTCATAGGAGCTTTGCTGATTTAATCAAAATGGTTTAAGTAGTTCTCATTGTAAAGATCAGCTTGGTTCAGCATCTGATAAATCTAATTTCTACATAAGAACGTCTCATATTTGTGAGCCATAACCTGATGAATTGCAGGCTTACTAGGAGACTTAGTCTGTGAGATAAGGAAAGGAAATTTTTCCTCATGATTTTCCTTAGAGACAGGATAAAATCACAAGTTTTGCAGCTGTATTCTACAAGCTACATTCAGAGTTGCTAATTACAAGGCAGGATTCTTCTGGTGCTGTGGGGATATTCACAAATGCAATTCTAAATTAAAAACACTTGTATAAAATGCTCTAGTGGTGATCCAGGGGTGACTGCTGTATGTTGGGGCAGCTGGTGCATTAGATATAAACGAAGGATTTATTCACTTTGCCTTGAGGTGGGTGGCATTTTTTCACTCCAGAGCTTTTTTCAGTTTACTGAGAGTTTGCATTTTGAGATTTAGTTATGCATTTTAACTATTGTCCAGAACTTAAGCAATGCCAGTATGCGCTGCCTGGTGAGTGATATGTATGTTACTCTGTTCAGAGAGAGTGTTATAGCAAAGGCAACAAGCTTTCTGCTGTGACATTAGAAAAAAATATTATTTAAATTCTCAGCTGTGGCCTTCACACTTCACTGCAAATGACTAGTTGGGATGTCCACAGAAAGCAGGTTTCTGTCTCTGATATATCAATAACTGTCACGATGGCTGTCAGATGTATAAGGTTTATGAAAAGACCACCCTGTGCTCTCTGCTTTGCTCACCTGTGCAAGGGAGGAATTGGTTTTGCACAGGCGCAGTTATTAAATCAAATCATATACATCAAAAGGAAGCAACAGAATGAAAATTAATGGTTTTCTGGTTTGTTGATTGAGCTACTTGAAGTTGTATTCCTTATGTGTGATATGTACTTTTGTTAATAAAGATACCTGGCTTATCTACAAATGACAGTGAAAAAAAATCTGTTTCTAGTTCAATTGAAAATCTTACCTTCAGTGTAGTGTATATAGTAAAAAAAAATGGAGTTTACGGTATATATTAATTTGCAAGTCCATCTCAGATATTTGATTGCATTTTTTAGACAAAATTAGCTAATCTTATCAGATAGTGGGGAAAAAAAAAAAAAGAAAAACAAAACCAAACAAAAAAATCAGCAGGAAGGAAAGTTGGTTGTCTGTACGCCTCTTCTTCCTTGGTCTATGGTCTGCCAAGTGTGAATCATGGTACCCATGAAGTTGAGTCCATTGCAGTTCAAAATTAAGGTGCTGTTGGGCAAACCAAGTACTTGCTCGGTACTAACAAACTTCTGCTAAGCATTCATTTACCACAAGTTAAAAATGGAAAGTCTTTCAACACATAACAGTACAGAAGTTGTAATGTGAGCATTTGATATGAGCTCTGCAGTCACACACAAAAAAGGGAGCAAGAAAGGACACCATTCCACTATCAGTGTTTCTTCCCTTACAAAACATGTTTGGCATCTGCATCTTGCAGTTTCCCCTGGCAACTCTCTACTATCACAGAATAGAATGTCCCAAGGCTACACTCCATTACACTGCACCATCTTTTCCTTTTTTTTCTTGCTCCACAAGCTTTAATGAAGCCCATCAAATTTGCACAAGTGCCCTATTTACTGTACAGAGATTACGTCAAAAGAAATGATGTTGGCTTCCTATTAATGCTTGAAGATTGGCAAACAGTCACGAAAGTCGATTGCTGTTCAGTTTGCTGAGTGATGCCATGTATTGCTGCCTTGCCTAATTACAGCAAATCAGATGTTTCCTGTGGTGGAAAACAATGCTAACAAATTACTAACTCTGTGTGTTTTAAGGGGAATAGTATATCTCAAGACTCAATTGAAGCAGAGCATTGGAACATGAAAATTCTGTAGCTGTTTTATCAGTTTATTTTAATGTGTATTTATGGTTAGGTAAACTAGAATTCAGGAGAAATATTACATCTTTAAAATATACGTGACTAATTTACTGCACAGTAATAGCTTCAGTAACTGATTCAGAGCTGAACTGTATTCAGAGCCAAATTCTTTACTTTTGGGTTTTTTCATAAGGTTTTCCCCACAAATCTGTTGAGTTAGCAGAATAAAGGAACATGTTATAAGCAGTGAGGTAAGCATTAGTATGCAGAATAACCTACAAACAATTTTCAGGGTTCACAGAGATTAGAGAAATAGGCATTTCCACAGGAAAAACAACAGGAATTTACCTTACCTCTATCTGAGATTTTTAGTTCTCACATCGAAGGCAGTAAAGATACAGCTGGCTTTGTGCATGTGCATATTCACTCTATTTTTCAGTCAGTAGTTCCCCAGGATGTGTTTTTACACTGAGGGATTATTAGAACATCATGATAACTCCTACACACAGTCTTAGCCTAACTCCAGCATGTAATTTCAATGCCTGCAGCTCTACTTTGAACAAAAGCAGTTGGTGTGACAGCCTTTGCTCTTTGTAAAGGATGACACTGATTTCCTTCACTTTTTACTTCACCAAGAGAAAGGCTGCATCAATCAATCAAATCTTTGGAGTGTAATATTAAAGAAAACAATTGTTATTTAAGCCCTACTTACAGTATAGAAGTCAGCCTGAAGAAATATCTGCTAAAAAAATTTTAGCTAGAAAACTTAATGCTTTTTATTTTCTTGAGGCTGAGCTGAGTTGAGTAAGTGAAATAAAAATCATGTTTGGGATTTCTTGCTTTAGAAAATGCCTGTTAAGTCATGACTTTGCTCACACACCTCTCATTTTGCTTTTGCAGCTCAGGGAAGGAAAAATAATTTTGTGAAGAAAGCTTCAAGGAAGTTTCTTTAATACATATGCCAGCAGCAAATCATTGCTACATATGAATGTAGTGAATATTGTTTTCAGGATTTATCAAAACATGTATCTACTCCTGTTGGAGGTTTCTAGGCAGATGCCTCCCCTGGCCTCTCTGGAAATTTCCAGTTGGATGCAGCAGCACACGGGATGAGAAGAATCTCAGTACGCTGGGTTCAGCACTGTACTGAGTTTCTCTTTTGCTCTGCTGATCAGAAACTGTTGAAGAGCTGCAGGAGGAGGGGGACCTTCAGGCTTGATTGGAAGGAGTGGAAAAGAATTCTTCTTGAGCCTAAGGGAAAGATCAAGTAATGTTTTGTTGGAGCGTTTGAAGAAAGGTCCCTCTTACTGCTCAGTACCTTAATTTATAGCCAGACTGATGCAAGGTCCCTTGAAGGACTGAGAGCTATAATGTTCATATCCATTCAGAGGAATTTGTAGTAACAAAGTCAGATCTCTTCAATTCATTTTGTTCCCATCAGTTTCCCTTTTTGCCATCTTGCTCATGATCAAGTTCTATGTGTTTGAATTCAAACATCTGTGCTTTACTCTAAAATGAAATTACTATAGTTCTCTACAATTTTCATACATAAATAATTTCAGTGCTACTGAAATGGAAAAATTCTGAAGCATCTTCCTGGCTGCTCTTGTTTAAGGCAGTTGTGACGTAAATGACACAGACTTGCTGTCTTTTCGCTCTGTCTCACATTTCCTTCCTTTGCACTCCCCTTTAACATTTTCTCCCATCTCTTTCCCTGCCCTTCGTCCAGAGAAGTCAGTGTCTCATATCCTGTTCTCTGAATGTTGTTCATTTGCATGACCTTTATTACTCTTGATTACTATAATGAGTGTTTTTAGTAATTATCTTCATCCTGTTCTATTTTTCCACAGCAATACCCACTTTAATGGGTTTCAGATTTATAAAACATATGTTATATTAGCAAAAGCTTAAGTATTACCTCCCTTCCCCAGTAATGCTTGTACACATAGTATAAATAGTAGCTTTCTCCAGTCCTGAATAAATTTACAGTTGGCCTTAAGGAAGGGTATCAGCTGAACTAAGCCACTAAGAGTGTCTTGCCATCAAAGTAGTTCATGCTTCCGTTTTACTGACATGCAAGGAATTTTTCTTTGCTTGCACACTTTCATGAGCACCTCTGCTTTACTTAATAGGTATTGATAATAAAATATTCAATGCAAAAAAAATTGATAGTGTTGAATGTGGATGCCTATCACACATGCTTTCTAACTAAAATGGTCAAAGAAATCCCTGTCCTCTCAGATCACATTGCAATAAGAGAATGCAGCAGGGAAGTGCAAGAAGAAATTTCTGCTTGTTACTGGTGCTTTGTGTGTTATGGACCAGGATTTTACAGTGACAGGTGCTAAGCAAATACAAGCAAAATATGGGACCCACTTTTTGAGACAGAAAACAGTTTCATGTTGTTGTTGGTAATGCTAGTGGGATATACTTCTCGATTTTAAACTATTTTCCAGTATTTTAGTACACTATAGACAAAAAATTGTATCTCAATTACAGCCATTTGCTATTACTAATACTACTGAGTGTAGTTACTGCTGGGTCCAGCTGCTCTTTCTGGAACGCAATGTGATTGTGGATTCACAGCAATGTGAATGCATTGTCTGGAGAACTTGAAAGAGCCACCAATTCTGGAGCTGGATTCTGGGGAATTCCCCCCTCCCCCAGCTGGGGGACACAATGGGTCCTGAGGAGCTGCAGTTTGTGCAATCATCCAGGAAAAACAGCCAGGGACTCTATAGGCAGCTATGTGGTGCTGTTCTAAGTGGCTTTATGACTTACCACAGTAAAGTTTAAAGTCCCACTTCAAGGGTTTCATACAGATCTTGTCTACCTGTATGCATTTCTGTGATGCTTATATCTAAGCTGGCCCATTCAGCAGCAGCACACAGTATGGGCAAAGCCATAACAGGCAGCCTGAATCTGCCCTGGATTAACATAGCCTAGCACAGACCACAGCATTTCCTTTCCAAACTTGTCTGGAAACTTACAAATTCCTCTAGAGCTGTAGTCAGGGAGAACCAGAAAACATTGTTTCTCTTGGAAAGGGGGACAGCAAACATCATGTTTGGCGAATTTCTGATTTGGAAGCCTTGCCTTGGTTCTTCAGAGCCCTTCAGAAGCTGTTTGTATTTCAGGTAGGGGAGGATCTCTTTACTTTCAGATCTATACAGAGACCCAAAAGACCTGATTGCCCATTTTTCTTATACTTTGCTTTTTCTCCTATAATTCCTTTTTACCCAAATTAATTTCCTATAGAGCTCTGGATCTGAAGGTAGAAATGCAAAGTGGTGCAGACAAATGTAAACAGCAGGGTCCTAAGTTTTGGGAGGTGTCCCCCCCATTTGCACTGCAATGCATGGACACGGCATCCAAAGAGAGAACTAAGCCATGTTATGATTTGATATATCCAGCAGGAGTAGGGGAAAAACCACATGGTGAGATCTTCCTGTAGTCATGTAATGGATAAATTCAAGTCCTAGGCAGAACCTAACCCAAGCCAGATTTTGCTTTCTCTGCTTACTGCTTGGTCTCGTTTCTTCTCTCCTTTGTCCATTTACTGCAAAATCTTTTAACCTCCTGCAGCAGCAACTTACAAGGGTTTCACTGTACACAGTGGAACTAAAAAGTTCAAGTACAATATGAGCACAAGCTCTGGGATGGTAGCAAAGCTTGGATGAGCCCTTCTGCTCCTATAACTCTTTAGTGGGGTAGAGATGACTGACATGCAAAAACCCCCAGTATCCAGAGTTGTTTCCCGGACACATGCTCATTATTTATAGTGCTATATCAAAGTTCATCCAGGCAAGTCTCTCGGGCTTTTCATGACTGGGCAGAAGATGCCTCCTCAGGAGATTTCTAGTGCTTCCACACTCTGTCGCAGTGGAAAATCTTGCTCATAGCTGTACAGTCCCAACAAATAATAAACAAATTATTGTTTATTATTTGTTGGGACTGTAAAGTTACAAGAAAGGGTTTGCTTCATGCTGTGAGTAAAATGTAAGTCCCTGAGTCCAAATTCCCATGTTTTACATCAACCAAATCTTCATATATCTTCTCTAATAACAGTGTTTCATCCAGTACCATTTCTACTACTTAAGAAAATAATTGTAATTGCTTGTTGCCTCTATCCATCTTCATGTGGCAATTACAAATGTATCTAAGCCAGACAGGAGTGAAAACAGAAGATTCAGAGAAATATATTCTCACACAAGTGTAACAGCATCTTGTGTTAAAGAATTGTTCCTTCATTTGATTTCCAATGTTTTTAAAGATAGATTAATTTCGAACAACTCCTCTATAAACCTTTAATAACATTGCAAGAAATTATCCTTCAAGATCCTCTGATCTTGAAATCCCAGGGATGGGAAGTGTAGCTGACTGAAAGAAAATCACAAAGTTCACAAAACTCTCCTTGCAAAAGGAGATTTTCAGAAAACAATGTTTCCACAGAGTGACTAACCAATGTAAAAAGGAGTAGGTACTTTCATCAACATTTAAAATATTGACTTTTAAATATTATACAGATCATTTGAGCTTTATAATGGTAAATAATGACTTTGTGTTGAAGAGTAAGAAATACTTGGTTGTATGTCTTTGTGTGTCTGTGAGAATACAGAGCTGCAGTCCAATGAGGAGTTTGTATAGGCAGGGAAGTCTAAATTGGAATTTCAGAAATAAAAATAATTTTTTGTGTTAAGAGATCAAACAGGCTGATCAGAGCAATGTATGTTTCATAGTCCTGATCAGACAGCTGGGATCTCAGTTTGTGAGAGTGGTCTGCAGGGCTGCTGCTGTTTTAACAAGGCATTGGCTGTCAAATCTCTCCTATCCTCAATGTGTAGCTGAATTAATCTCTAAACATCACTGAGCTCATCTTCTGTGTCAGTGCAGGCCCATGTTTGCTTTTGTCCTTAAGCTGGTCATGTTCAGGCTGTTTACGTATCTCATCGGTGTGACGGGTGTGACATTTTGCTTTTAGGATTAAAAGCTAAGCACATTGGAAAAATTTAGGACCAGGTATAATTACGTTTTCCTCCTCAGAAGCCTTGTTGTTGATAATATTTTCTCTCTGTTTTGCTCATTTTTGTTCTTTAATAATTTCAATTTGTCATGTTTACCCTTATTAGAGATTGGTTTGTCTCATGATACATGGTGGGTTTAGTTATCACAATAAAATATCTTAGATAGAGGGCAATTGAACTTCAGTGTGAATGGCTGGGCTTCTTTGAGTATTACAGCTACAATTCCTAGTATTTTGATTCTGTGCTATCTCTTTACTACACAATAACCTGGAGCTTCAGGTATGAACTAAACTGTAAAAGAATGCAATACGTTGCCATACCTGACAACTGCATAGAAAATAAAGTAATTTTGGTAGTCCTTACCTAGCTATTATTTTAATATTTATTGTGTATTGGAAGATAGTTTGGCTTGACCTTGATTCCTA